CTATCAAACATTCTCCAAAGTATCCTACTACTTCAGCGGATAGAATAAAATTCGAGACAACTACAATTAAATACCATTTTAGTCAGATTTCACTAACTAAAAACACTGATAACTTCCTATCATACATTTAGTATTGAATATACGGACTATTAGTATTCAACATTCTATAGATATCATTACTAGTAAATAGTGATCCCGTCGAGTGGTTAATAATGTTGTTTGAAGTCAATGCACAAATCTCTTGTTTTCTATGAGTCCCAATGAAGACATTTATTATTGAATCAACCAGTTTGCCGTCTTTACCCAGTATACTTAGCGCCTTTAACCTCAGCGTTTCACTTTCTGTGACGTTGACACATGCGAGCGATGCTTTAAAAACAACTAGGATCAAATACTAAAAGTTTGCAAATATTTGCTATTTCTAGAAACAGCATTTCAAAGTTACAAATTAAAAAGAAACATTATACACTGGTTCAGAACACTCGTATTTTGGTTCCCAGACAGTCATCTATGAATAACGTGAGTCAGTCAGTTACAACGTAAAACTTCGAACGTAAGTACATCAGTTCACGTTGCCACACTACACTAGCACACAAGCGCGATTGTCATTTCAAAGCCCACAATAGTGGTGGAGATAGCAGAAGTATAAGGGGTGATGGAGAAGATTAGGGTCGCAAGATATGATTCGAGAAGTATGATTAAGTGAGATAACTTTAGGAAGACAGAGATGTTGAGGAATTCAATAAGTTAGAATTAGAGAGAACACAAAAAGTGGATGCACTTGCGCCATCGCAAACGATTCTAAGCCATGTCATTCAAGGTCTCTAACCATCGGTGACTTTCGTCTCGCATACCCCAACCAGGTAGCCTATATCTACCAACATGACTCAGTCCACTTGTTAGTAATTTCATGGATTTGTGCCATGTTTCGGTCTGGCCGCCCCTAGCTTTCTTCCAACCTATTAATACACCACAAACCATAGCTCGTCGCGGCAGTCGGTGGTTAGCCATACGTAACACATGTCCCAACCACCTCAACTGATGAAGTTTCAATACTTCATCTATTGACTTGCTATCCGTACCTAGAACTCGTTTCCTGACAACAGCATTGCTTGATCGGTCCCACGATACTCCGGCAATGCTTCAAAGACATCTATAATCGAATACTAATAACCTACAAATGTCCTCTACTCTGACTGACCATGTTTGCAGCCATAAAGTAAGACGGAGCGAACTGCTGCGCAGTAGACTCGACCTTTGGTTATCACACGGATATCTTGCCTGCGCTATAGGTGACGCAAGCAGGCTAAAGCGAATCGAGCTTTCTGTCTCCGTGTTGAGATTTCGTCAGTCACCAGGACATCAGCACTGATGAGACTCCCAAGATAAGTGAAGCGGTCTATACGCTCGACTACTTCACTCCCTATCACTAGTTCAGGTGCCAATGCAACCCAATCTTGAAGCAACATTTTGCATTTCGACGGGGAAAACCGCATCCCGAACATGTTTGCATTGTTGCTTAGCGTAGTCAAAAGACTCTACATTTTGTCAGCGTGTTCGCCAAATAGAACTATGTCATCAGCATACTCTAAAGGTCAGCAAGCATGTCTTATGGTAGATGGTCCACTGCTGATAGTTCAAACGAAGATAATGTTATCTATCTCTAAAAGCATTTCTACGTCAAAATAAAACAAGGATAGAGAGAGTTGACACAGCCCTGACAGAAGTAAGGAATTCCGACGACAGTTCGACATAAGCTCTCAACCAACCAGTGATGTTCGAGTTGAGAGCTTGTGTATAAGGAACATTAAAACTACTTACGAAATAAATAATATATATATCTAAATATAACTTAGGAGAGAAAATGTATAACTGACTGAACAAACAACATCATACTCTTAAAAAAAAAAGTTACAAAAATTACAATCATAATGAAAAAAAAAGAAGAAGAAAGTATATTCATTAGAAAAACTCTTTATTCAAAGCGTCAGTCTTCACATTTGTTTAAAGTTCTATTTGACAAAAATATATTTATATATATTTAAAGGAAGAAAATACTCATACATACATACATGTGCATAGTTTAGAAAGTTTTTTTTTAAAAAAAATTGTTGATGAACACCAGAAAAAAAAAATAATAATAAAAACCTGTATCAGTAGTAGTAGTCTATTCAGTTTTAAAGAATTCTCTATAAATATGAATGAGAAACAGGGAGAATAATCAAGTACATTGTGTCATTCGGAAAAAAAACAACATAATAAACAAAGTAAGGCAATATTATTATTATTATTAGTATGATACAATATGAACATGGATATATGCATATATATATATATATATATATATATATATAACCTTGAAAAGTGTACTCCATTATTTGAAAATAGAGTAGCGCGAAACAGAACATTCAAGAACACCGGTGATTCTTATTCTGTCAGTAAAAAACGAAACAAAACAAAACGAGTAATCCTCATGGATGATAAACCAGGTCCCCAAGGTACACACACACACACAAACAGGCGCTTAACACAAGAAAAATTTGGAAGTATAAAAAAAAATTGTACAAGTCACAAAATGAAGAAGAAGACAATTTCAGAGAAGAGCAAAACAAATCGAAAACAGTACCGTACACAAATAAGACAAACAAACGAAAAAGATATTACACAAGTTATACACAGTATGGAAATGGAAAAAAAATAATTTTATAATATATATTATACGCCACTGAATTATGTTTTGCTTAGTTAGTCAAAGTAGAGTATCCAACAAACAAACAAAATAAAAATAGGACACTTGTGTGTTGAAGATGGAATGAATGACTAGGAGTGAAAAAACGGATATTTTTATTTGTCAAAAAAAAAATTAGATGTGCTGTGCTGTGCTATTATTGCAAAACATTCATATCAAAATATATTCAAATTCGGAATTAAATTTGCACAACAACAACAAAAGACTCAATGGTGTAACATCACTACTACTACTAAACTGGTAATGAATAGATAATGTGTGAGACAGTGAACTACTACTACTGTTAGCGTATATTATATTATATATATAGATGTTTATATACACAAAACAAGTCCATAGCAAATAATTTGGTTGGTTTTACAAAGAAATAATCATAATCAAGGATATCAAGTGAACAAACAGTTTCATCTTTGTCAATTATGAAATACTTATATAACATAAAGGCTCAACCAGGCACTAATGGTCACATAAACATAATCAATCTCCTATATTTTTTGTTGTTGTAGTTGTTAGAGTGGGGGATGACATGTTCGAAGAAAATGAAAGACACCAATAATAGCGAGCATGTGTATGAGAGAGAATACACAATCGATTTAACAAAGAAGAATCCACTTGAGAGAGAATACAAAATTATTTTTTTTTTAAAAAAAGTGGAGTCTGGAAATAATGAAGAAATATAAAGAAGACAGTGCACGCGCGCGCGCACACACACACACACGCACAGTAGTAGTTGTAGTAGTAGTAGTAGTACAAAATAGAAACGAACATGAGCAATCATCATCACATGTAACAAACCTAATCATTATGTGTAATAAGATAGGTAGGAAGAGAAAATTTCGTTGACCGTTTTTTTCGTCAGTGGTATGTGTGCTTGACTCCGCTGCAAAAAAAGATATATGCAGAGAAAGATGCTGAAAAATGTCTACCTGTCAGCGGCAGCAGAAGAAGAACATGGATCTTGAAAAAAAGTGAAACATATTAGAAAAATAAATTGCTAAACAAATCCGAATAACAAACAACAAATGATGTGTGAACAAGTGTGTGTGTGAGAGTCGAATCAAAACCGTCATGAGCATGATATACACACGCACACACTCGTAGAATAACAAATCAGTAAACTCGAGTTCGTTTTTCTTTTAAAGATCAAAAAACAAACAAAATAAGGGGAAAAAAAAGAATTCCGAAAGAAGATTACAACATAACTACTATTTATATCATCGTTGTTGCAGTGTACAAACACTTATAATTCAATATTAGTACAATAAATAATAATAGTAATAATAATAGTAATCAGCGATAATAGTCAAGTCGAACAAACGGTACACAACACATCATTATGCACATTGAATACAGTATTCACATAAATCTATGATTATATACGATTATTATTATTGTTATTACTATTCAAAGGTTACCAACAACACAAAACACGAAACAAAACAGAAAAACCAACAGCGATACACACAGAAAAAAATATATGGGAAAAAAATCACTGAATGGAATGATGAAAATCAAATATTACAACAGCAACAGTAACAACAACTACTACTGCGATGTACGCGGTCTTGAAATAGTAGTAATTCAAAAAAGAGAAAGGATTGAGAGGGTAGGGGAGGGGGGGCGGGGGGCGGTCGGTCAGGGAAATAAAACAATTTGATACACATGTGGTACATATATAAGTGTATATGAAATACACAACATTAATCAGTAGTATAGTTTGCCCCGTTCAGTAGTAGTAGTAGTAGTAATGTACTTGAATATAGTATAAACGAATTGTTTGTTTTTTTCTTTGTGAATATGAAAAATATCAATCAACAAAAAAAATTAAATAGAGAAGGAAGGAGAGAAAAGGAAAGAATAGAAAAAAGAACTAGGCACTTCTTGTCTCTATCTATCTACGATGATAATATGAAGAAAGTGATGCAGTCGAGTTTAAGAGGGGAACAGCGGCTAGAGAGAGAGCGAGAGGGCGATGGAACAGGCAAAATGAACAGTTCATCATCATCATCATTTCATAGATGCTCTTTTGTTTTAAATAAAAAATAAAATACAAAGTTTTTTTCTAGTTTAGCAGCACTCTCATCATCATCATCAAACAAAACACAATACGAAAAAAGAAAAAGAAGACGAATCTCTGTAAAAAAAATATGAAGATGATATACATTTTATATTTACTCTAGCAATATAATCAAGATTAGATAAGATTAGATTAGATGAAGACTGATAGAAGATAAAAGGATATATATATATATATATATATATATGAGACACTTGGTGAAGAGAAATGTATTATTGGTATGAGCTGAATTGAAAAAAAAGTATCTATTGTCAAATTTCAAAATTAGGAATAATCAGTCAATCAGTCAATCAATTATTTTTCTCTAGTTACGATATGGGTGTAAAGTTGAACTGGCGGGGGGGGGGCGGGCGGCGGATTTCCGTCTAAGAATATAAAGCACATTGATTCTTTTAGCCTGACAAGTTAATAACACAGTTGTTGAATAGAAAAATTCTTGTTTAATCATGCATGGTATTTTTGTACATTTTCCGTAATGCACTATTTGCATGGCGATCCCTGTGAAAAGATAAAAGAACAAAGAGGAGAACATTTAGTAAATTAAATATTACCAACTACATACAGTCAGTCATATATATATGTTGATCTATAAGCACCTGGGTAGGAGTGACTGCGCACACAGATTGGATATCCGATTTGCTTGCACCAGAATCTAATCGGCATGCCCGTACCCTTTTGGACAAAGGGAATCGTGTACAGGCCCTATGGGAGTTTGAACGTTCCGGCTGACCTCACGAAGCATATTCGATCTTTGGTTATATGTAGGGTCTTGAGGGTTCTGGTCGATTGTATTAGCGTGAGGCAGTTGGAGGCCAGTCGGCTGGGAACGCTGCTGGTTGGTGCACTGTTGGGTGGCTCGGTAATCCATCACGGGGAGCCAGGTTTAGCTGGGTAAACCCGCCTTGCTACCCCTGCCGATTGGGGATTGTGGGTAGTGGATTGCTTAAGGCGACTGGGTTGATTTCATAAGTCCGTGCGGAAGTGACTGCTCGTACGCACACAGATTGGATGTCCGATTTGCTTGCATGACAATCTAGACGACATGTTCGTACCCTATGGAGCAAGGGTGATCATGAAAATGGCAGTCATGAGAATCCTTGTGTTTTGTAAAAGCAGCTTACGTGCATGTGCTGCAGGCATGTTAGTTGACCCTCTAATATATATAAAGCTTACTTTTGGAAGAATGATCAGAGCCACAGTGTTTAGTAACCACTATTACGATTGATTACTTTTATAGTTCACGTTTGTTTTCTTGTTATAAGATTAACAAAACACAATCAGAGAGTATTATCAGCTGTTAAATTGGTATTTCTTAATTTTCTCTTTAATTATAAATGATATTAAACAGACAGTAAGTAACCTTTGAAAACAATATGACTAAAATTTAGTGGCAAATATTATTGAAAAATTATGATTAATTTTACGAATGAGCCTATTTACCAGGTATACATGGTTATACATGATTTTGAGCTAGAGTTTCATATGTTGTAGGCTGATGATACTGCTCAGTTTATCTAACATGATGCAGGTGGAACGGGCTACCAACCTACTTACTTAGGTGATGGGTAGCTAAATGTGATGACCACTCAGCTGTAGCTCAAAGAGAAAGTAGTAAAAACTGAAAGTCTCAAATCTGAAACTACATTTAATCAACTTGTTGAAAGCAAGATGCATGAAACTTTTATCGAAGATTTCCATAGAGGAACCGAGGTAACAGTAACATAGTGTTGTTTATAAACCGGTTGAGTTTGAAACGATAACAGAAAGTCATGTGCACCGCTCATTGAATATGTTTTTGTTTTTATAAGTACACTGATTTTTGTTGAACGTTAAGCCTATTATCATCATAGTCGGACTATCGATTGTACGTAGCGAAACGATGTAAAACCATGAATGATCCGGTTCGCAAATTGTCCAACATTTATGTTGCCATGCCTTATCAGCACAAAGATATAATTGTCAATTCAAATCCAATAGTAGAAGAGGTAGTAAAGGTATGAGAAGTAATCGGAGAGGTTAGGATTAGTAGATATTATTCAAGAAGTATGATTCAGTAAGAAAAGTTTAGAAAGTCAAAACTAGAGGTGTTGAAGAATCCAGAAGATTAGAATTTGAGAGAACACAAAGAATAAATGCACCGGCGCCATTGCGAACGATGTTGAGCCATGTCATTCAAGGTCTCTAACCATCGATTATTATCATCTTGCAGACCCCAACCAGTCGACAATTACCGACATGGCTAAGTCCACTCGTCAATGACTTCATGGATTTCTGTCATGTTTTGGTTTGACCGCCCCTAACTTTCTTCCAACCTATTCCTACACTACAAAACAAAGCTCGTCGAGGCAGTCGGTGGTTAGGCATACGCAACACATGTCCCAACCACGTCAACTGATGAAGTGTCACTACTGCGTCAATTGATCTGCCATTCTTACCTAGCACCCGTTTCCTAATAACAGCGTTGCTCACTCGGGTGTCCCACGATATACGAGCAATGCTTCGAAGACACCTATGGTCGAAAACCAATAACCAATAACGAATATCTTCTACTCTCACTGGCCATGTTTCACAGCCATAAAGTAAGACAAAGCGAAGTACTGCGCAGTACACTCATCCTTCAGTCAGCAAACCGATATCTCGCCTACGCCATAAGTGACTCAGGTTAGCAAAAGCCAATCGAGCTTTCTGTATCCGTGCTGAGATTTCATCAGCCACCAGGCTATCAGCACTGATGAGACTCCCTAGATAAGTGTATGGAATGGTTTAATTACTGGGACCCCTTAAAGGATACACTACATCTATTTATCTGTAATCAAAATCATATCATATGCAATAAAAGCTAAACTGTTTAAGAAAAAAACTCACACACTATTTATTTATTGCTTATCCATCACCAATGAATTCATATGATCTATTGAATTGGACAAAATGTAACGTGAATTTTTTGAATTGTGTACAAATTGTTGATGATTATCACAATGTTGTTGATCATTATTATTATTAAGTGGATTATTATTAGATTCAATGGAATATCCAATTAAATTAGTATTATTAATCCCTTGGGAAATTATTATATTGCCTTGTTGTTGTTGTTGATGATTTCCTATAATAGAAGTATTAGTATTAGTAGGAGTATTATAAGATGAATTTTTGTCTACAGACCAATTTCCAACTAGTTCCATGTTTGAATGTCTAACATTGAAATGTGAATTGAAATAACGCCCATCACTACTACTACTACTACTACTACTACTACTACTAACAATGTAATTTTCATTTTGTGACATATCACGATAAACAGATTGAGATTGAGATGATGGTGGTTGTGGTGGTGTATAATACTGGGAATGAGGTGAACAAAATTGACTTGGACGTGATTGTGGATAACAAACAGAATTTGAATAATATTGTGAATCTGAAGAAGGAGGTCGATTTGAAAAATACGATGTATGATTTGGTATACGATTTGGATTGGAATTTTCCGATTTAACACGTGAAATGGAATGTATGATGGATGATTGGCCAACTGAATGATACATTGGAGATGTCATCTGTGGACTAGGAGTATAACTTAATGAAGGATATGAACTGTAAGGATTAAATAATAAACGTTGTTGATCATGAGTTGGCCAACGTTTATTAACTGCCTGTTGCTAAGAGAAATACAAAATAGGAAATCAAAAAACGAACATTATACACATCATTTATGAAAAAAATCATTTGAAGATGTCATGATAAAAGTAGACATACTCATCAAAATGAAGTAGTTGGTAATGGGACTTGAACCGGAGAATTACTAACCTGAAGTTAGGAGTTCGAGAAACCAAATCATGAAAATTAGTAGTAACATAAACACCTGTCAGCTGATCATAACATTTATTCTAGACGTGAAAAATAAAACCCAGATTACATATCCACTCATTTGGTGTAGAAATAATCAGAAAACCAATAAGTAAATTTCTACAACTAGTTTTTTATAAGTAGAAAGTATGTGGATTGCATCTCTTGTCACAGTAATAATATTCAGTGAATATACAGTCCTGATATCATGGTACAAAGAATTAACTGTTATAGGAAAAATATTAATCGAAAATGAATATCCTTAAAGATTCGTTGAGATGGGTCTAAAGAGTAAACTATGAACAAAATCAATAACAACTATAACATACATGGTGTACATGTACGTACGTTGAATGCAAAGACGATACAGCAGGAGAGACCATGAAGAATGCTAGGTTTCAGAAGGCAGGTCAAGTTTAGTGAATTGTAAGTTCGATAGCATGTGGAGATCTCTAACTCATAAAATTTCACCAAGGTTGTGTAAGAATCAGGATACATAGTACCTGCAGCTGCATATCGTAACTTTTGGAAGTTGTTCCAAATCATTTTAGTTGGTGAATATCACTGAATTGTTTAGAAAGACTTGAGAAACGAAGTGCTTTATTATCATGAAATGGAGCGATCGCCTAAATAAATACCAAGGTAGAGTGAAGCCAGACACCATCAACAACAACCTGCTGTGGGAGAAAAAAACCCAGATCCCAGCTAAGGAGGAAATCAGGAAGAAGCGCTGCAAGTGGATAGAACATACACTGCGAAAAGCACCTAACTGCGTCACAAGGCAAGCTCTCACTTGGAACCCTTAAGGTCGAAGGAAAAGAGAAAAGCCAAAGAACACATCACGTCGAGAAATAGTGAACGATATGAAAAGAATGAACAAAAATTGGACAGAACTGGAGAGAGAAGACCAGGACAGAGTTGGTTGGAGAATACTGGTCGGCGGCCTATGCTCCACTGGGGGTAACAGGGGAAATTCAATCCAATACATATATACCAAAGGCAGAGTGAAGGCGTATAACCATCTATTTCCATAGATTCAGATCAAAATTACGATGAGGTTCAGTTAACTCCAGAAAGACTTCTTGATATCAAGTACATGGACGACATTTATCTATTGTGTGATGAAACATAGGCTATCCAAATGGTAAATAATGACCTTATAATTGATATCCGTACGTAAGAAGTGAAATTCTCATCTACAAAATGCAGAATAGTTATATGAGAGACTAGTAAAAATCTGCTCATTCAATCATCCTTTGTTAGAAATAATAAAAAAAAACTCATGGAAGTGAGCGATTGTGTATGCTAGTGGTAGCTTAGGAGAACTAGATGCACCTACATCCGAGTTGATATTCACTACGGGATTCGACCACGGGAGCATTTACTTCATAAAACAACATGTTATTCAATCGGCTACTGAGAACAGGTAGCCGTTACTCATAAAAACTAACTAGGAATGATAAAACTACAATTTACAGATAAACAACGAGATGAACTGAACTATTAAAATCCAAATATTACTTACAGTTGTTTGAAAAGTTCGATCACAGTTAAGATTGTCAATGTCAGGAAAGTTAGAATATTTTGGAGTAGGACAAACGGAATTTCGAATAGGCGGTTGATCTGATGAATGTCGAAGAATATGTGTAGATTTATTCAGTTCATTATCACCAATTGTAGAATCAACAATTCGTGTTGATGTTGAATTGTTTTGAGAATAAGGCATTGGATTATCAAAAGGATATGATGCACGTATATTATTAGAAACCATATTACGGCATATAGGAGGATTGTTAGGCACTTGTTCGTAAGAACCTGTGTGTGTGTGTAAATGGTTTCGGTTTAAATGAAATTCATTAAAAGCTGATAAGTTGAAATGATATATTAAACTAAAGCAAATCACTAAAAAAAATTATTTTGTCAAATTGAAAAAAACTTGACTCAGTCCACTTGTCAGTAACTTCATGAATTCGCGCCATGTTTTGGTCTGGCCCCATCTAGATTTCTTTCAAACCTACCCCTATATTACAAAACATCGCTTGTCGAGGTAGTCGGTGATTGGGTATACGTAACACAGGTCTCAACGACCTTAACTGATGAAGTCTCACTGCTTCATCTATTGATTTGCCATCCCTACCTAGTACTCGTTTCCTAACACCAGCACTTCTAACCCGGTGGTCTCAGGATATACCAGCAATGCATCGAAGACACTTACGATAGAATACTAGTAGCCCAAAAATATCCTCGCTTCTTACCGGCCATGTCCCATACACTTATAGTAGGACGGAGCACAGTAAACTCGTCCTTTGTTTCGCAGACGGATATCTCCCCTATGCCACAAGTGACGAAAGCCGGTAAAAGCCAATCACGCTTTCTATATCAGTGCTGAGATTTCGTCACACACTAGGCTATCAGCACTGATGAGACTCCCAAGATAAGTAAAGCGGTCGAGACGCTAAACTATTGTACTACTTCAAGTTTCTTGATATAAACTGTGGTCCTAGATAATTACGAAGTGTGCATGACGTATGCCCAAGAAATCAGCTTAACTGGATTGTAAATCTTGAGCGACTAATAACCATATGGTTTGTGCAATAAGTATGAAGCAAGTCATATTCAGTGTGCAGAAATTGGTTTAATTGCTCGGCTCCTTAACAATAAGTAGGTGATGCCAGTTTGAAAGTCGTATAATCAGTGAATCGACTGATCAAGGCAATGAACTACCATTCGATTGAAGTGAATATCAACAATAATTAGTTCTTTATATAAAATATGAGGTTCTGCGGCAGTGTATCTCATTGAAAGATGTACCAAAGAAGTACATTAACCTCATACAAGCTCTCTACTCGAACACCACTGGTCGAGTGAGAGCTTATGGCGAACTGTCACCGGAATTCTTCACTTCAAGTGGTGTCCGACAGGGCTGTCCACTCTCTCCATTCTTGTTTAACTTTGTCGTAGACATCCTTTTAGATTTAACATTAAGCTCGTCAGATTTTTCGGCGGTTGACCTTCTACCAGGTGGCTCGCTTATTGACTTAGAATATGCCGATGACATAGTCCTACTTGGTGAAGACTCTGACAAAATGCAGAGTCTTCTGACTACCATAAGCAACAATGCAAGCATGTTCGGGATGCGGTTTTCCCCCTCGAAATGCAAAATGTTACTTCAAGACTCGCTTGCATCGGCACCTGAACTAGTGATAGGGAGTGAAGTAGTTGAGCGTGTTGATCACTTTACTTATCTGGGGAGTCACATCAGTGCTGACTGCCTGGTGACTGACGAAATCTCAGCGCGGATACAGAAAGCTCGACTTGCTTTTGCCAATTTACGCCATTTATGGCGTAGGCGAGATATCCTTCCGATAACCAAAGGATGAGTGTACTGCGCAGCAGTTCGCTCCGTTTTCAAAAAACCGCAGATTTGTAACGACAGATTACCAAACAATTCGCACAAGGAGAGATGTCGAACGCTCAGAATAATCTATCAGGTAATGGTGTTTCAGTAAGTAAGTAAGTAACCTCTTACGAATACTAAGTTATATTCCTGAAGTTTATAACAGTAGCTCTCTGTCATATGCTTAGTCTTTTAGATGATAACAGTGTAAAATCCTCATATAAATAAGTTAGAAGCAATTGGTTTTCGTATACTAATTAAGTACTGAATAATTTTCTACTCTGGAATTACATTTCCGATTTGGTTTTCCTTACACATTTCATACTGTCTACTTAAAACCATCTATAATATCTACTATCATCAAGTGAAGCCTAATTCCTTCAATCACAACCTAAAGGTAATTCTTGTGAACATTAAAAAAACCGACCAACTATCGATTGGTAGTAATTTTAAGAATCAATCAAATAAACAGCAAATTATCACGTTTTAATTAATAAAATACTCAAAAGATAACTTTGGTCATTTCATTTTGATGATCGAAATTTCTGACAAATATATATATTAATCAACTGGATTTGTATACACATTTGGTAAACCATGTTGCAGATTGTTCAAAACATGATAAGAAGATAATCATTAAATACTTACTTATTCAGTAAAATGTCGATCTATCTCTAATTCGGAGTCATTTAGTGCTCAGTCACATTGTGGTGATGTTTTGTTCTCTGAGTTGGATTGTTTTGGTTGTGAAGCTTTCAGTGTTCTTCTGCTGAACAACATCATCAGAACAAACTTCAGATAGCAGAAGTGAAGTATTCGATGTTCTCCAGGTTTGACTCGTAGGTGAAAACAACGACAGGTTTAAGGTCAACAACAGCAACCAATCAAGATCAAGGTTAACAAAACAAGCTATGGGTCAAACGTGGAGAAATTTGAATACTTCACTTCTATTCTAGCTGAAGTTTGTGCTGCTGACGATGTTGTTCAGAAGAACAATGAAAGTTCCACAACCAAAACAACATCTAGCTCAGAGAACGAAACACCACCACCAATCATTCACCTAGACTACAAATTTTCTTCACCATCTCAATCAGTCAGTTACAATGTAGAACTTCGTACGTACGTATAAATGTTCATGTTGCCACAACACATTAGCACAGAGAGATGGAATCCAATAGTAGTAGAGGTAGTAAAGGTATCAGCAGTAATCGGAGAGATTATGGTTTGAAGATATTATCCAAGAAATATAATCCAGTGAGAACAAATTTAGAAAGAGAAAGGTAGAGGTCATGAGGAATTCAGATCATAATTTTAGAGAACACAAAGAATGGATGCATAAGCGCCATTACAAACGATTTTGATCCATGTTATTCAAGGTCTCTAACAATCGGTTACTATCGTCTCGCGGACCCCAACCAGGTAGTCTACACCTAACAACATGATTCAGTCTACTTGTCAGTGACTGTATGGATTTGTGTCATGTTTTGGTTTGGCCACCGTTAGCTTTCTTCCAGTCTATTCCTACACCACAAAACATCGCTCGTCGAGGCAGACAGCGGTTGGGCATACGTAACACATGTCTCAACCACCTCAACTGATGAAGTTTCAATACTTCATTTATCGATTTCATCATATACACTTTGTATTACTATTCAGAATAAAGACACGTTGTTTTACTACACCGAAAAACTTATTCTCTCTCTTGGTTTAGTGATTTTGTCTATGATTTCTAATCATTCAAAAACTTAGGTCAATGATATAGTCCTGTGAGAAGTTTTTACTTCGTTGAATCATATTATTGTGTCTACTATCTATTGTGATTAGCATTCTATTCATTGATTCTAACAATTGAATTTCCTTTTTGATTACAGTTTTCAACTTCTGTAATTTCTAAGAAACAATTGAATTTTATTCATGAAAACTGTACTGTAATGATTATAAATTCAAGTATTTTTTATCTTTTTCTCTACTGACTAGGAAACTAGTCTTAAAATTCAATGTCAACCGGTCTTATCATAAACTTATTTCATAAACAAAGTTTAGAAGTTTCGATTTTCATCAAATTAGTCTACTCACTATACACGTTCTGCAGTTTCTTGTACTAAATATCGATTTATTGTCTTTACAAACACACAATCATTAAATGTGTATTCAATAAGCCTCACTTAACGAACACGATTCCTGTCACCAAAATAAAACTGTTGATGACTGAATATTCAATCTGACTTAGCTAGTCAGCCAGTCAGTCAGCTACAATGTCGAACTTCGTACGTCCGTACAGCAGTTCAATTTGCCATAATACATTCGCACACAGCGAAGAACTTTTCAATTCAAATTCCACAGTAGTAGATGTAGTAAAGTATTAGCGGTAATCAAAAGGATTCGTGATCGAAGATATAATTCGAGAAGTATGTCTCAGAGTAATTAATTACAAAGAGAGAGAGAGAGAGAAACGGTCATGAGGAATCCAGAGGATTAGAATTTTTAGAGAACACAAAGAATTAATGCATCAGCGTCATTGCTGACAACTCCGCCAGTAGAACCCTTAGGGGCTACTGCCGGCCCCAAGCCCGGATAAAGGAGGAGGGTTGGACATGGGGTTGGCGACCCCATTCCGTCGAAATCTAACTTGCCAAAAAAAACGCTAACCAGAAAAAATAATTCAAACCATTTTCACTCTGCCCTGGGAGTTGGAAGAAGAATTATGACGTCGCGTGATGAAAGACGAGTTCCCTCGGAAGTCACGGGGCCGATGCCTCTTCTGACAACCAGAGCAACCATTTTTTTTAGGTACATGGAACATTCGTACATTGTGGGAGACTGGAAGACTATTTCAAGTTGCGGCAGAAATGAAAAGATACAACCTCGAGGTGCTCGGCATGAGAGAGGAATGAACAAACATTGGACAGAACTAGAGAGGGAAGCCCAGGACAGAGTTGGTTGGAGGAAACTGGTGTGCGGCCTATGCTCCATGACTCAGTCCATTTGTCAGTGATTCCATGTATTTGTGCCATGTTTTGGTCTGGTCACCTTCAGCTTTCTTTCAGTCTACCCTTACACCAGACTGACATGTACAACAAATAGACTTTACCTGTGTTTATACTGCAACATACATGCGAAACGCTGAAGATATATCTATGTGATCAAAATAGATGTAGCCTAATTATGTCAGCATTCTTGTAGTTTTTTTTCTAATGTTACTAAATAATTACAAAAGAATATTTAGAAATACTTTGAAAAAAATTAACATACTTGTACGATATTTCATATTTGGCTGCCAATAAATTTGCTCTTGAAATTGTGGTGGACAATTCCTGAATGATGTTAATCGTGTATCCATTTCATTAGATTTATAATTTTGATATTTTGGTTGAATATAAGACGAATGATAAGTTGGCTCTGAATGTAACGATGATGATGAGGATGATGATGATGGATTGAATGAATACTGTTGACACATTTGTTGAGCTTCATTTTGTTGACAATTATTAAACATGACATGATTAGGCGTGAAATCATTTGATGACAAATGAGAATTATGATTTGAATAAAATGGAATAGAATTTTGTTGATTTACTGATTGATTATCATTATCGGAAGATGTGTACATTGAAGAGATTTGATTAGAGGCACAATAATCTTGAGAATATTGTAAATGAGAAATTTCAGAATTATGAATAGGAGATTGTGAATTTTGCACATAGTTAGTACCTAAATATGAGAAATATGATTTTATTAAACTTATGAGGTTTTTAAAAAGTAATTGAATAAATAAACCAATGATGAATTATAAATTTAATTACAATCTGACGAAAAACTTCAAGAAACTACAACAGTAGGCATGTAAGTGCATTTTATTATCATTTTTTTTTGAGAAGTACTACCAATTAGATAGCCATAAATCATATTGTATGAAGTTTACTATGAATTTGAAAACTCAAAAAGCTGATTTTTCTTTGTCTTGTGTATGTATAGGAACAACGTGACTTGTTTTTCATAGAAAACACCGATTTGATTTTTGATTTTTGCAGGAAATAAATATACATAGTTGTTTATCTTCAAAGAACACAACTCCAAAACATAGTGATGACCAGTCTACCAAGGTTTTATAATACCTAGAATTCGGGTGCTAGGTAAGAATGGCAGATCAATTGATGAAGTGGTGAAACTTCATCAGTTGACGTGGTTGGGACATGTGTTACGTATGCCTAACCACCGACTGCCTCGACGAACTTTGTTTTGTAGTGTAGGAATAGGTTGGAAGAAAGTTAGGGGCGGCCAAACCAAAACATGGCACAAATCCATGAAGTCACTAACAAGTGGACTTAGCCATGTCGGTAATTGTCGACTACCTGGTTGGGGTCCGCGAGATGATAATAATCGATGGTTAGAGACCTTGAAGGACATGGCTGAAAATCGTTCGCATTTATTCTTTGTGTTCTCTCAAATTCTAATCTTCTGGATTCTTCAACACCTCTAGTTTTGACTTTCTAAACTTTTCTTACTGAATCATATTTCTTGGATATCTTCTCATCCTAACCTCTCCGATTACTTCTAATACCCTTACTAACTCTTCTACTATTGGATTTGAATTGACAATTACATCTCTGTGCTGATGTGGTACGGCAACATGAACTGATGTACTTACGTACGAAGTTCTATGTTGCAACCGACTGACTGACTGACTGAGAATTCTAACAACCTGTTGCAAGCCAAAAAGACAGATTGAGGAATAAAATAGCCTGACCAAAGCTATAACTAAGACAGTGTAAACCGTGATACCGTGCGAAGTTAAGTTGGAAGATAGTATGAAGGAAATGAATTATCTCAACATCACTTATGCAACACACACATACATTGAATGTATGAACGGCAACCTAGTTGACAAGCTAGTTTCGTTGCAAGAAAGTGATATTCACCAAACTTTTTATTTCTCAAATCTGTATTCACAGTTAACTTTAAGTAATAATGTAGTCCTTTTTTTACAGAATCAATAGTTTACTATCCGCTCAACAACAACCACAACAACAACAACAAAACATTTATCTCCTATTTCTTTTTTTTTCTTCTTAAATTTGCACTTTATTCCCTTGTATGTTAATAAATAATGATTGTGTATTTTTAATCACCTGATATCATACGACTTAACATTTGACATACACCTTGATTATTATTAATATTAACCGAATTTAATTGATGTAGTTAAATGGAAGTGTATTGATTAGTGGAAAGAGAGTTACATACTAAAAAATGATATGAACATTTATTATGCTTAATTTATCTAACACAATTACTTATCCATCTAGGTGGATGTTATAATGATAACTAACTAGGTAGTATTAGGAAGTAGTAGTACGATTTACATTCCAGTTGTTAGTTTTCACAGAAGTACCTTAACATTTGAAGTAATCAGTGAGCACACTGTGCATATTAAACTTATATTCTTTTTGAACCATTTTAATGATTCTCCTTGGATGTTTTGAATTTCTCTCTATAGAGAAATATGAGGAAGTTATGCTTCGGCTGGTGAAGTTTCCCGTATATAATATGTTCGGCAGCCAACTGTATCGAATCAGTAATAACATTAAACATGAGGAAAGATTCTGTCAAACTTGAAGCCCATTAGCATCAACCTAATGATGGACGCAGATAGATTAGTGCTACTTATCATTATCGTGAAGTTTCACATTTAAGGAGACCTTGATTTAAAAAAAAATTAAATCAACTCATTTACCAAATACCTAAATGTAATTCATTCTCTGATGTGAGGGGTTACCTAGTCTGAAGTACGTGGAGAGGATTTTGAAAATAGGATTTATTGGCTTGAAGTTGAACATTTTAACCACCTAGCCACCACCTCATGAAGATAATCATATAGTTTCTTAATAGCATCTGCTAAAATAAATAACGAAACCCATCTATTATGTAAAGATTATGCATCCGGCTTCGAATCACAGAGCTTTTCTGAAAACTAGTGATACAACTTGACTACTTGAATGGAAGGTGAAAAATGGAGTTCAAACACACACAACCGGAAGTATCTATGTACAAATGAATAGCCACGAGAAGTCTATCTGTTGTATGTTCGACATATTTTTGATGCAGTTCTATACTCCGATTGACGAGCAAGGTGGACCTCATGCAGATGTGAAGACGCGGATTGGCAAAGCAAAGGCTGCATTTTTACAACTGAACAACATCTGGTACTCAAAACAACTAACAACAAATACCAAAATCAGAATTTTCAATACAAATGTCAAGACAGTTCTACTGTATGCAGCGGAAACTTGAAGAACTACCAAAGCCATCATCCAGAAGATACAAGCACTCATTAAGAGTTGTCTACGCAAAGTACTTCGGATCCGTTGGCCCGACACCATCAACAAAAACCTACTGTGGGGAAGAACAAACCAGATTCAAGTGGAGGAGGAAATCAGGAAGAAGCGATGGAAGTGGATAGAACACACACTACGACTAGCACCTAACAGCGCCCCACAGGACAAGCCCTTTCTTGGAACCTTCAGGGTAAAAGGAAAAGAGGAAGGCCGAAGAACACATTACGCCGAGAAATTGGGAAGAACTGGAGAAGGAAGCTCAGGACAAAGTAGTTTGGAGGAATCTGGTCAGCGGCCTATTCTCCATTGGGAGTAACAGGCGTAAGTCAGTAAGTTCTGCACTCCGTAGTCGATTGATACGACTTGCTACACTTTTTAATCGTAGAACGATCATAACTTCCGGTAAGACACAACCTATCGGCAGTTGGAATTCTAGTCACCAATATATAAGAACTGAAAGAAATTATCGGCGTATTATATCAGATCAGATAGGAAAAATATATGAAAGGGAATACATAAAGAATTATATCGAAGCAAAAACGAATAACATACGTTGGGGATAGGAAGGATGACTATGAAAAAGTTGACTGGTATTGCCTAAACGAGCATTCTTATTTGACTTTGAAGGTAACACCTGATATGATCCGGTGACCGATGACAATTGCGGAGTGACCGGTATACCATCAACGGTTATAGATGCACAATGGAGAGTGCTAGAACATTTACCAGATACTTGGTCATAAGGATCTTGACCAGAAAATTGTTCATTGATAACTTGCTCTGTAAACTGATTATCAAAAATACTGGGAGTTGAGTGACTTGTACCCGAAGGTTGATTTGATGGGTATGAAGATGAAAACGGAGAAGAAACTTTCAAAGGAGTTACAGCTTCTTGCTGACCCCATGCGGAAGCATTATTAGGACCAGCACTACAACTGCTGCTGCTGCTCCAACATTCATGTCCAGAATCAGTGCTTGGTAGTGACGATGCGCTTGTTACCTTACATCCAATTATTCCGGCTGGAGATTTCGATTCAATGACTGTTTCCTTGACTGTGACTAATACAACCTCTGAAGAGTCAATACCTTTAGGTGTAGAAGACGTCAACATGGGCATGTCCCGTTCAAGGATTTCTTGTAAATCGGATAAAAACGCATCAGTCTCTGAAAGCATAGTACTAGTATGCACGGCATTAGTTGATACATTCGTATCAGATATATAACTTTTTACATGATTAGATATAACTTTGGAATTCAAAGGAGACATCTGGGATGTGTTCACAGTTGCAGTAGAGAATGTAGATGTTTCAACTTTAACTTCATCGTCTTTATTGGGCTCGAGTGATTCACATAGAATCTGATCCAACACTGTATTTGAAGCATTTGTCGAATCTAAAAGCTGTTCAACTACATCAGATTCAGTTGTACGATTCGTAGATGGGTCAGCAGGATTGAAAGACAGACAAGATTTCACATTGGAATAGACTGAATTTTGTGGAAAGAAATTTTGTTGCTCATGATGCAAAGATTCACTAGTCATAACTTCACATGATAAATGAGGATTATTGTTCAATGTATCTTGATTACGTTGATGATAATGAATTGATTGATTCGACATGGAAGGAGGATATGGGGACTGTACATGAAAATCATCAGAAGGATTCATTGAATGAGTTTTATTCATGGATAAACATTGTTCATTTTGGAAAAACGGCATATTATTATTATTACTACTACTACTACTACTAGATGTACTTTCAAATAGTCTGTTGATTTGACTTGATGTATTATTGACAAATGAATGCGGTTTCTGCTCAAAGCTTTTAGTGGCTTGATGATTGTGTAACACACCGCCACTACCAGCAGTATTTTCTGAGAAACAACAATCTCCGGATGGATGTGATAAACCTGACATTGGAAAAGAATATACATCATGTCCACTGCAGCTAGGATCACGGTAGTAGTCACTTGTATAAGAAGTATCCAACGGGACATGAGTATTCATTTGAGGATTGTAACATTGCCGTTTTAATGATTGATAATCTGGTAATTTTGTGACATTGAGTGGGAGATTTTCTTGCCTATCATACATCATTGCAGGTTGGACAGAAGAATCATAAGGTTCGTGATTAAATCGATTTTGATCTAACATTCTGTAGAGTGAGAGCTTTTTATCTAAGAAAGAAAATACAGATAGATAGATAGATAAACAATCAAGATGTACAGAAACTTGACGTCAATTTAAAACTTTAAAAAAAAACATAAAAACATTGGTTTTGATAAATCAAAACGAGAAATATCATAAACGGGATTAAACCATTGAACAATTCGCAGTCTACTCATCACACAATTAAGTATAGAAATGTAATTCAAATTGAACTGCCTTTGAGAAAAACAGTTTTTAAAATGACTGAAACCATAAAAGTTAAACAAATACTTCATTTTGAATATTTACTCTATTTCTTAGCGACCAATAGGAATTTCATACTGTGTCAAAATGCAAAACTTCATTTCATAACATGATTTGGAATCGATTTTCCAACGCATCCATGTAGATTCGTCGTATCCTTTAATCTGGGTTTAAGCGCCAGACATTTGTTTCTCGTCCTCTCGATTTAATAAACAACAATGTCGCTGAGAGAAGCCAATGAATACTACTTTATCATCAGTGGCTATAAATATACGTGAATATCACTACTGTCGGATGTCGAAGTGTGTCTATGTTCTAGGACCTAACGAAGTATGAATTATTTGAAAAATACACACAGCTATTTACGATTCATTTCTATCACTATACATTATATTATAGCAATACTGGAAAACAGTGTGGTTCCTTTCGCTTCAGTTATGGGTAGTTAAGAGATGCCTCAGGGTTTAGTAATCTGGAACTAGTTTCTTTCACTATATAGACTAATCATTCATGTTATGCGTTTCCTTTCTTGGCTAACACTAGGCTAGAAATCTTACTAGTTATTCCGAGAATTAGAATAACATATATAAGCGAAAAATATTGTTTTCAATTAGATTTTCATTAAGTTCTACTCTAATATGTAATAATATTTATATGCTTATGTGAAATCATTCGATCAATCAAGGCAATTTATGAGTCAGTGATGACAGTGGAATATAAAGTACAGATTGGTAATGTGATGACTAGTGTACTGGTTATAATAATAATAATAATAATAAGTCTTAGATCAATGTTGCATAGTTAGTAGTAGGTCACATGGCTTGGAAAACTAGACTCTGAAATAACATTCATTAGGATTACAGATCACGGACTAAGAAGAGTTCAGACAATTGGGTAGTGATGCGTATAACTGAACAAAACAAATAGTGAGTGGGGAGGAAGAAAAATAAAGGGAAAAGTTCTTCATGGTTCTTATGAACTTTTTCATTGATACAGACGTGATTGATTTGGTTCTGTGTTGTGTTATTTGTTGAAATTTATGTAGCTGTGTATGCGTTAGTAAGAATATGGTGTCATCTTTTCTGTTGAAGGAACATAGATTTGTGAATCTCCCACCATTTTCATTCCTTCCTCCCGTTCCATGTCGTCCAGTGATGTCTTCAAATCCAGTGTTATCCGTTTCGACATTGGTATTTAGGTTCTTTATCAGGATGGTCAAATCCTTTGCTGGGCATTTCTCGACGATTGACTGCAGCCTTTCATAGTATTGATATTTATAGTCTTCATTGTTATTAATGATAAGCGCGTAACACTGAATGATATTCATTGCGATACTCTATTTCTTTGTCTTGAAGGACGCTTTGATGATCCTGAGTCCAAGGAAAACTAGTAGGTATACGATAAATTATTTTAAATGTCTTATTTCTATCTACTACATGACTGTTATCGATAGAGCTGAGCTGCTTGTTGTTTTGATTACGCCTCTTATTAACAACGGAATGGTGTTGACTAACTTATTGGCTCAGTTGTCTCGTTGTACGCTCAATATAGCTTTCATCAAAGCGACAGCTGAATATTCGTACATGCACATGGATGAAGCAAAACCAGGAAATTTATCCGTTAGCTGAGAAATCACCATAGGTCGGCTAGAAAACGACAGACAGATGTAAGCTGTATTAAACATCTTTACTGTTGCTTCAGACAGTTTATCTCGGAATACGTCATCAGCTCTATCTCCACTATTACCAACAGAACCACTGTCTTTTCTGTTAAATAAAACGTCAAGAAAATGTAATCCGTTATCGAGTACCTCACCCACAAGTAAATATAATAGCTAAGTGTCCATTTTTAGACTGCTCCAAGAGTTTTTCTTTAACAATGTTCTGATCCACATGTATTGGTAACAAAAGCAGTTTTTTGAGAGCAGCTTCGGAAATTCCATTACTGATTTGTCTTTCTGGTAGTTGTTGACTTACAAAGTTGATTGTCTTAGAAAATAGTATTTTGATAAATAAGGATGCAACATCTAAGGACATCTATCATCTGTTTTCCACTTAAATTTACATGTTCCATCATGGAAATGAAATCGAAACGTTTTCACGCTCCTCCTGTTGATGAATAAGTTGTGTAGAGGATCTAAGAATTGAACTAACCATCATTGGCAAACAAGGTAGATCTGATGTAGACGTGAGAACACGGATTAGAGTACCAAAGACAGTATTTCTAAAAATGAAGATCATCTAGAAATCAAGACAACTATCAGCTAGTCACAATTTTTAATTCAAACATCAGAACAGTTAAAGTGTATAGAGCGGAAACTTGGAGAACTATGAAAGCTATTATCCAGAAGATACAAATGCTTATTAACTGTTGTCTATTCAAGCTACTCCGGATCCGTTGACCAGACACTATCAGAAACACTCTGATGTGCGAGAGAAAAAAACCGAATTCCGGTTAAGGAAGAAATTAGGAAAAAGTATTGCAGCTAAATAGGACGGAAACCACCAAAATGAGCCACGACATAAGACAACTTAGAACCCTCAAAACCAAAGTACATATTAGGCCGATAATCGGAAGTAAACATGAAAAGAATGAGAAGCTATTGGTTAGAACTAGAAAGTGAGCCCCGGGACAAAGTTGGTTGGAAAATGCTGGTCCGAGGCCTATGCTCCGTTAGGGGTAACAGGCGTATGTATAATCCTAATGAATATTATTCCAGAGTCTAGTTTTCCAAGCCATGTGACCTACTACTGACTATGCAACATTGATCTAAGACTTATTATTATTATTATTATTATAACCAGTACACTAGTCATCACATTACCAATCAGTAATTTATATTCCACTGTCATCACTGACTCATAAATTGCTTTGATTGATCGAATGATTTCATATATGTATATAAATATTATTACTTGTTAGAGTAGAACTTAATGAAAATCTAATTGTAAACAATATTTTTCGCTTATATATGTTGTTCTTGTCATCACCAGTTTACGTGGTCAGATCAACAACCGCGAAATAAAATGAGGCATCTACAAAGCATGCAGAAAACACACTCGAATAACAAGTCAGCCAACATCAGAAATCATCAACACTCACATTCTTTGATCATTTAGTCAATGTCCTCGTAGAAACATCTGAAATCACCAACATCAACACTAAAACAGTTCATCAGTTCCGAGAAACACAACATAAAAAAATGCCACTCAATACTAACCTAGTATAATAAGATACCCTAACGAACAATGGCTCAAAGATGTAAAAAAAAATCCGATTTAAATGAAGATCCATTAAATTTAACTACGTCCAGTGTAAACATTTACTCTGAATAATTAGATTTTAGTGATGCAATTAGCGAAATCACGGTCTGAATGAAATTAACAGAGAAATTACACCAACTTATTTTATCTTGGTAATTTTAGTAATTCACTCCAATGAACGATTTCATGTTAACTCATTGAACTACGTTAAATAATAACTTTGATTTAAGGTTTCATATAAAATTATAAGAATGGTTGATGGGTTATAATATTATGCAACTGTATTACATCACGTAACAATGAAAGAAAATGGAAACAGCAGTGATGGATATGTGCGACTACATGGCGTGCCTAAAACACTAACCTAACAACTTAAGGTTTGTAGTAAATACCTACACATTCTAAATCCGTGTACCCTCTGATGTGAACTAAATGCCAAAATTATAAACTTGAGAGAGAATATCGATGAGATCTACATAAAGTTCGTTAGATGGCTGTTAGAAGGTAATTAATTGGTCACGCGATGCAGGGGTTTAAATTCAATAAGTTTGAGCGATGTAGGAAAGCACAGTCTTCTTAATTGTTGAAGTTTACTAAACAAATAAAGATGGTTGATGTGAACCAAAATTATCAATGTTGCGGAAACATGACTTATCGTCAAAACTCTGGATGTCACCTCCCGAACATTCCATACCAGTTTTATCAACTTTAGCTACACTCCGCTATTCGCCACGTCGGAATGGCCGAGTGGTCTAAGGCGCCAGACTCAAGAGTAGTCTCCTGGGTGTTCTGGTCCACGATGCGGGCGTGGGTTCGAATCCCACCTCCGACACACACCTTTAGCTACAATTTATTTAGATAACGGAATGTAATATTACATGAATCGAAAAGACGTTTCGTAGAATACCTGAAAACGAATCCTAATAAACTCCTAAAGGTACTTGGAGAGTAGTTTCGGTGTGACCTGTGATCAATGTATAATATTTTTTATCAGTAGTAATTCCACAGCTACATAAATGAGTCCGAATCAGATGTACTAAATCCTCTCAAGAAATTATGTAGATATAACGTAATAAAGAGAAAGTATATGTTCTAGGATTAATTTTCGTAAAATATTAAGGTCGTCAGATGTCGATGGTTGACTGAAGTTCCTAATTATCCCAACAGTGAAGTCTCAACAGATAATTTGTATTATCAAGTTTAGTGGGTTTCAGTCCTTACGCTACACAACTACACACAAATCTAACATGATTTAAGAACACAGTCTTACTGTGATTCGTTGTACAAAAAATGGATTTCAAAATGATATACTGACAACGCAATCATAAGCTGCTGCACTATCAATGACATGAAGACGGTGAAAGTAACTCCCCGTGTTGATTTTTGATAGATAAACATGAAGTATTTAGACAAGACGCTTAGTACCACATCACTAAGTATAACAATGTTTTACGTTGTGTATGACTGACCGGTAAGCTAACAACGAGTCTTTATTTATGGACGCAATTTACTGACATTAGAGTTCAAAACTAAGAATATGTAGATACAGACGGAGATAAGCGTAAATATTCGACTTACCACCGTGGAATTCGCTGATATGGCGTTTTAGATGCATACGACGTTGTCCACAAAATGAGCATCCTTCAAGTGGGCATTTAAATCTCTTTAGATCCCGATGTGAATCCTTTACGTGATTTGATAGATATTTAACTGGCTGAAATGTTTGATCACAACCTGAAATGTTACATCGATCGGATTTAGAAACATCATTAAGGACTAAAATTAAGCTTTATGAAACAGTGACTTACTCATACTCGGCCCTAAATTACCAACATGATCGCTTTCATAATGCTTGTTCGCTACTCTGGAGTCATAATTTGATGATGACTGACGTGAAACAATGACATGGGGTTCTAAAAGTTATGACTAGTCAGTTTGAACTTACCAAGGTTTGAAGTCGAAAAACTAGTAGATTGTTCAACATTTGAAAAGTCTTTTGAATCAGATGTACTAGAAATGGTACAGTAGGCATTTGGTTCAACTTTGGTGCCTGAAATCCAGACGCGAGAGTCAATAAAATCCGACTTTAACTCTTCGGAAGCAAGCGAGTTACACTGAGTGGCACCAACTTCAGTAAAAAGAGATATGTTGTTCGTTGAGAATGTTTCATGATCGCGATGAGTTGCTTCCATATGTTTGATAACGTTACGATGGTACTGGCTTGAATATACACAGTGGTTGCATTTATACCGCTTTGAAGTAAGTGCTCCTGTCGTATGTTTACGTACGTGATTCCTCAAGGAAGCAACATGACGATATTGCTTCCCACATAGACTGCAAAGGTGAGCAGCAGAAGGAGAAGTAAGGCCTGACCCTTTTACAGAGCCAGGTCGACGACAGTTAGGACTGGAATTAGGAGATATATTTTCAGTTTCTTTCAAGGGTTGGGAATCGAGTTCAGATGCGTCATGGTGATTAAAAGGATCTGTAGAAGGTATGACCGTAGAAGTTGCGAACATGATAGAGCGCTCTGTATGTGGAGTGAACTGACCAGTTTTGATATAGGAGTAATTAGAGCGGTTTGAAATATCATGTGCTTTATTTGAAGACTGGAATAGACCGAACGAGTTGACAGGCACTGTATCTGTAAAACGGCAATGGATAGCTGTACTTGTACATGGATGTTCAGGTACTTCCTGGGTTGCCAACTGTCGCTTTACAAAGGGAGAGGTCGAACTTTTAGAGTACTCAGGAGGAGTATTGTGTTTGTCAGCATCTTTTGCGACCTCATGGCACGGTTGGTGAGAAGCTGCTTCACCGCATTTCATATTGTCACAAACATTACTTTCAGCATACACTTCTCCAAGTGTACTTTGAGAATGCATGGGACCATCTACAACTACGCTAGATGGATAATTCAGTAATCCAGATGTCACATTTGCTTCAGATGAGCAAACTTTGGCCTCCCAGGATTGATGGCATTCCGAATCAACGCATGAAACCCCATCTACCTGAAAGTAACCTTGTACAAACTCTCGACTAACTTACTTCACACTGATTATTGCAGGAATCAGTAGCACGATTATCTTCCCTGTGTAAATCTAAACACGGATCGGAGAAAAACTCTTTGAAATCCTGGATATCATTATCTTTAAAACAATTAGATATGTGAAATAATTACCATTATGTTCATCTAGTCCTAACAAGATAGGGTCAACCGTTGGTTTATCCATTAGCAGCAAATCAATCTGCGATGTTGGTAAAAACTTGTTCATGCCAAGTTCATTTTAGAAAAGTAAGCAAATAAACGAATACAAATCAACGCTATGACCTTGGGGACTTCGAAACCCCACACGGAAATTTCTTCAAACGAGGTGTTCAAACAGTGCATTGAAACAGTATTCACACAAATTCAGTAGGCTTTTTCAGTTAGCTGCAACTGAGTAAACCTATCCAGCATCATTGAAAGAACAATCAGTACTCATCAGTAAAGTGAACTTTCGTTTGATTCTGGAAATAGATCAATTGGTTACATACGGTGTAGAAGTTTTCGCTTAACATGCTTCCGTATCTAGTAGCGGTGGATTACCGATGCTTTCAAGTATAGACCTAGGCAGTTCTAACAATTAGAAAGGAAATGTTACCAAATTAAAATTAACCACTGTCCTGATTCCTCAAGAGTCTGTCAAGTTTAGTTTTGAAGAACTTCAGGGAAGTTGCTTTTACCTTCTCAGTCGGTATTGAATTTCGAAACTTGAATGGAAGGTTTAACTGCGAACCATTTCGCTTTGCTTAGTTACTGTTTCCTGGGTTCTCTAATAAGGTTTTCGTTGAAACTGAGCTTCTGCAAGAGAATGATGAGGAGTGTTTCGAATGCTATAAGTCATAAGGTCACCTCTGAGGCGGATATATCCCAACAGTTAAAATTTAGTCGCCTGAGGCACTCTTCTCTAACTTAAGTCCTCGAACTGATTTCGTGGCTAGCCTTTTGATACGTTCCAGTGTTTCCTTACCCTTTTGGAATTAGGGAGGAAACAGTATGTTTCCTTGCTATAAATGGGGTATAATAAACGAGTTAAAGTTTATGTGTAACGTTCTGCTATCAAGATGGCCAAATATAACCATTATTCTTACTAGTACAAAGTTTGATCGAAAGCGTCAGGATAACAAGACGACCAGATCTTCATCGAATCAGGAAATCTCTAGACGGGAGTTGCTTAATTTGTGCACTTAGTCCACAGCATGTCTTCGGTGGACTACTTTGCACTTTGAAGCGTTAAAGGTCAGTCCGTTGTCATTCGCCCAACTTGAAGTTGAAGCATATCCTCCTAAAGGGCAAGCTTATTATCTTGTCTGCAGAATAGCAATAACTCAGACGATAGTTGTAGCGAAAGGTCTTTTACATAAATTAAGAATAGAAGTGGCCGGGTGCTGAACCCTGAGGGCTCCATCAGAACATTCTGTAGTCTGGGAAAAATCAAATTCGACCCAGAGTTTAGAAAGTCGATTATTTAGATATGAAGTTAATCCATCTACTGGAGATGACTTGACAATTAACAGTTTGGGCCTAGTAATGGGATAAATATAAGTGACTCCATCAAATGATATTGAGAAATCAAGATATATCATGTCCTTTGCGATGAAAGATGGTTGTCCATCTTTCCATTACAGTCGGCAGGGTGTCTTTTCAAGTTTTCCTTTCTCAAAATTGTGCTTCTGGTGAGAAAGACATTTATAGGTGATAGCCAGTGGAATAGATTGTCATATACCAAGGAGAATAACAGAGTGAACCATGTCAGGGTCAGGAGAAGTATCGTTTTTTGATGGCTCATTTTGTGACAGACCAAACTAACACCCAGGTCCACTTCTTAATAATTTAGGTCGTATGAAGTGGTTTATATTTCTAAGTTAGTGTTCTACCAAACGCTCTAGTTAATCACCGACGTTGTTGGTAGGTCTATTAGGACCATACTGTTACGGGAGAAACGAAGACATTTTGCTGATCAAACCTTTATATATATAATCAATAATTTCACTGTTTTTTGGGTATATTTGTTTTACTTAACTTATGAACTTGTTTGAATTATTTTTTGCGGACATTTTGGACTCCCGTTTCTCTTGGTTGTTCGTTTGCAGTTTTTTGCTCCTAAAGCCAATAAATTAGAAGGTAATTGTAATTATTATAATTATTGTTGTTAGAACGACATTGGTCGTCTATTTGTAATACAGTATTTTGGTCGAATTTGTGATTTGGAATAAACTTTGGTATCTACTTTGGAGTTTCGTTCTTGGTTTAAAAATTTGGGACCGTGAATTACAAATAGTTCGACAACCGTGCTTCGTAGGATCAACGGGCAAAAAACTGGACGTAACAAAAGTTCTTCTAATTTAATTTCGTCATATATTGGATTTTTGGTCGTTTGGCTCCAGAGGTTCTTCAATTCAATTTTGGTCGTTGGAAACTTTTGGAAATTTGGGTCCAAAAGTTCTTCTTACTTTTAATTTGGTCGTTGGATACCTTTGGCTATTCAATTTGGTTCTTTGGTTATATTTTGGATACTTTTGGACATTTTTTTATTATTGGCCGAATACGTTTGGATTAATTTCACATTTGCTTGGTAATCGATTTCGAATAAAAACATACAATGGAAACTAGAAGCAAAAGGCTGAAGGAGCAGGACGAAATGGATGGTAAATTTTCTAAAGCTGTTTGTGGTATGTCTGATGTTAATGATGATAAACTTTATGATATTAGTGTTAATAGTAAGTCTTCATCTCAGTTTAGTACTTCTAGATTGAAGCTAGATAAGGCATTAATTAAGAAGAAGAATTTGGAAAAGAGACTTGAGTTAGAAAAGCAGCTTAAAATGTTAGAGCTTCAAGAGGAAGTTGATATGGCTGAATTAGAATGTAAGCTCATAGAAAACGATAACCAACTGTCAGTAGACAAAGCTGAGATAAATTCTAAGGTCGAAAGGTATTTGGATTGTGATATTGCGCTTAATAAGATAATTAACGCCTCAAAATGCGATTGGATTGATGAATTAAAGGACACGTTACGTGCTACGGTTAGTTTTGCCTAAGATCGATATGATGTTTTTTGACGGACAACCAAGCCAGTACTACCGTTTTATTAGTCAGTTTACAAGCATTATAGAGAGTAAACTGTCTGACAAGGGCCAGTTGTTGTCATATTTGTCATACTATTGTAAAGGAAAGGCCAGAATGGCTATTGAAGCTTGTATTTCTTTGCCCAGTCACTTGGGTTACGATAGGGCTAAGGAAATTTTGTATGATCTGCTTGGTAAAGAACATCTTGTCGCCCGTAATCTTATTACCGAATTACTTAGCCACAAATATGTTGAAGGATCCGCCGATAGCCTAACTGACTTCGCAATTAAGTTACGTAATGTATGTATAACATTGAAGGAAATGGGGTATATGTCTGATGTGAATTCTACGGCTAATCTGGAAATAATTGTGTCACGTTTACCCTTGGAATTACAGAATAAATGGGTGGAAGCTGCTGATAGGATCATGATGACCGGTAGAGAGCCGATATTTGAAGAATTAGTGATGTTTGTAGAAGAAAGAGCCAGGATTGCGCGATCACGTTTTGGTAGACTGGTACATTGTAACTCAAAGTTCCGTAAAGGTAATTATGAAGGCCAAGTTGACAGGAGATCACGCTTTAATGTAGTTAAGAGGGAACCAAGCAACTCATTCAAGGCTTTAAGTTGCGAAATTTGTTTTGGTGATCACAAGGAGAAAGACTGTATGAAGTTATCAAAAATGAATGTTACAGAGAGGAGGCAGGAAGTGAGAAAGCGTGGTCTATGTTACTTGTGTTTAAGGAAGGGTCACATAGCCAAGTCGTGTAACTCAGACACAAGGTGTGACGTTGATAATTGCAAGATTCGGCATAATCCATTATTGCATATTGATGCTTCTAACAAACATGTAGTGAATTTTGCTAAGGATTGGAAATTCCCAAAGGTTTGTTTGGGTATCGTTCCGGTTAGACTATATGGCCCCAAAGGATGTCTGGAAACATACGCTCTTCTAGACAATGGTTCAGATACCTCTATTGTATGCGAAGAGTTAGTTAATCGGTTAGGTCTCAAAGGTAAGGAGACTTCAATAAAGGTGACGACTGTGAATGGAACTTCTACTTGTGAATGTCTGGAAGTGAATTTAGAAGTATTTTCATTAGATGAGCGGGGTTCTATAAAGATCAACAAGGCCTATACGACCAAGAAACTTCCGATCGATTATGCAGAGCCTTTAACCGAACTGCAGCTGAGAAAGTGGAAACATTTAAGGGACATAACTCTACCGAGGCTGCAAAGTAATCTAGTAGGAATATTGATTGGGTGTGATGCTCCAGATGCACATTGGGTCCTTGAACAACGCCTGGGAGACAGGAAGCATCCGTTTGGTGTGCGTACTCATCTCGGTTGGATGATTTTAGGTCCTAAAGAAGCATCGAGGTCTTTACATCAAGTTCAGTGGTGTCATTGTTCTACTAATGATATTTTGCGAGATATAGAAAGATTATATAATCATGAATTCGAGGACGCAGATGGGTTTCGTAATGAATATTCTGTCGAAGATAAAAGAGCTCTAGAAATAGTTAATAGCTCCTTTAGACTGGAAGGTGGCCATTTCCAAGTTGGTCTACCCTGGAAATATGATAAGCCAAGGCTACCGAATAATTTGGAACTAGCTGAACGTAGACTAGAGTGTTTAAGGAAGAGGTTTATGAAAGATAATAGTCTTAATAATAATAATAATAATAATAATAATAATAATAATAATAATAATTTATTCTCAAATAACAAACATGTTACAAGAGACATGCCAATTTACAGGCAAGATCAAAATGTTAAGATTAACAACATATTTCTTTTAAAACGGTATACATTTACTGAAACATTTCACAAGATTCATTGTGTTCTTAAAGATGGAATGTTCAATGCGAATAATTGGCGCAAGTTACGAAGGTTGCGTTACGACAATCATCTTATGGACTGAGAAACGATTCATGGTAGAGATAGGTTTGCATATAACAAGAATTGATGCGGTAAATGTACAAACGTATGGTTGATATTCATCAGCTAATGATTTTACATGTTCTTGGGTAGGGTAACCAAGTCTACTGCAAATATCCAGACTAATATATGAGGAGTGGAATAAGGTTCTGAAAAAAGAGGAATAAAGAAGACGGGACGAGGAGCGGAACAGAAAATTCGTTTATAGATAAAACAAAGGTATGTTTACTCAGACTTTTTTAATGTCATTACTGTACACCTGCACTTATGTAGGTTAATGAAGACAAATTATTGGTGAGA